ACCCCAGGGGAGGACATCCATCACACAGTGATCTCGTGTGGGAAATTAACGTCTCCTGCTCCTAACCCTGCAGGAGACGGGACCTCCATTTATTCGTCCCTATCCGAGAAGACTAGAATATCTAACCATTTCTTGATGTTATAAAAAGGTAGCATATTCTCCTCAATGATTTTAATACCCTGAGTATTGGTCCGGCCGGGGCTCGAACCCTCGAGCTCTCGCTCAACAGTCCAGCGCTCTATCCAAAGAGCTAACCAGGAGAGATCTGCATGGAGTCTGCATGGAGACCTACATGGAGGAAGTGAGTTTTCAGAACAAATTTTGTATACAGCATAAACTGGCAAGCATTGACCACTTTCAAAAATGGCTGCCGGATTAATATTCTTTTGTTTAAATTTAAATTAGCCTTTCTGGCCTCGCTTGAGATGACGTATTCTTTTGAATTTTGTACTGGAAAACGAGGCCAGAAAGGCTAATTTAAATTTAAACAAAAGAATATTAATCCGGCAGCCATTTATGAAAGTGGTTAATGACGTAAATGTATATTTACAGAAACTACTTATTGGGGTGAAAACGTGTTACCGGAAAGTATTGTTCTAAGACAATACCAGTCCATTAACTCGCTTTCGAGAACCAATGTTTTACAATACAGTAATACCTTTTTTAGTCACTTAGAGACATTGAAAGGTGCGAAATAATCAGTCAAACTTGCATCCCTACAAATTTCTCAAAAAGCTCACTGTTAAAAGCGGATGTTTTTTGTTGATTACAAATGTTCATTGTCCACAAAGCGGAAGGAGTATGAATTACTAATCGCATTAAAATCACAGCAGTTGACATCGATGCTCTTGATTGAAAAGACTTTGAAAATTGAAGCGTCGAAATATCCTCTTAGAAAACAAACTAAAGAACAACTTCCCTTTCTTATATTTTTCGGAAAGACTCAGATCAATTTACAGGAAATACAGACTCAATAAATACAAGATTGTGTCAGGAGGCGACGCCAGTTAAAGCGTGATGCTACAAGAGAGAAAGGGTTACACAGCGTAAAAGAGAACGAAAACAAAGGTAAGATTGACCATTTCATTATTTATGCAAAGTCCTTTAAAGTATTTTTAGTAGAAACATATTCCTTTTTATATTTTTGTCGACATTTTGATGCATTCAGCAAGTTCTAATGACAGCTCCGGAGAATTTCGGGTTGAACCAGCATTCAGTATTATATGTTTTATTAAATACAGTCATGCAAACTGTATAACTTTTGTCATACTACTTAAGAAAACACGAGTTTGGCCAATGTCTCACGAAAGCGAGCGAAGCCGAACGAGCCAAGAAGAGCATGTTATGCTTGTCCCATTTTTCAGGTTTACACGCCTTTCTAAATGTTTGAGTTACCGATTAAAAAAGCTAGTTTATTAGATGTACTCTGCGGCCAATACACTCTAGTTGTCAATCAATGATAAGTGCTTTTGATCTTTGAGTTAGAGCTTGATTCCCAAGGCTGGTCAAAGTTCCCGAGTTAATCTGCAAATTCCGCTGTCATGCGATATCTCTTGAAAATGGGTTGCCGGGGTACACTGATTAGGCAGGAAAACCCTGTCATGATTCTCACTTCGATATCAGTCATTCATGATTTCAGTTTAGCACCTCGAAATTATATTGAGCCAAAATTTAAGCTATCACCATGATACAAAATTAATTTTTGGGAATCAAGTTAGTTTCATGCATCTGAGATGGAGGAACCTCGGTGTTCCGGCATCGATATCATACTTTTTTCCTCTTTAATCTCCTTGATTAATGCGTAAAAAACATGTTCGCCTTCGGAGATGACGATTTATCAATTTCGTGGAAGATGCGAGAAAAACTTAACTTGCCTAGGTCAAGCTGAGATAATTTTAAAAGAGCAATCAGATTTTCAGAAAATTCGAACGTGCAAGATACCTCGTCAAGTGTTATGTGCTAACGCGCTTCCGCCTCAAATGTTCCGCCTCACATGAAGTATTTTTACTTCCGTTCTATGATCCGCGAATCCCACGCATTTGGACCGACAGTAAATGAAGCGATTATTTTTGCCCGGTAAAACTAGGTAACACGCAACAACAGTTTATTCGCCAAACAGTGTAGTACAACAGGTTTTAATGTTAAGTCTCCCGAAAAAAGAAACACAGTTGAACCCAAGAGACAATTCAAAATCTAACATTGGTTGCTAGCAAATCCGCCAGATTTGGAAAGAGATCTTTAAATCCGACAGGTACATTCATAGACCTAATTCAGTTGAAAAATCTGAAGGATTCCTGAGGTCAGCAGGAAGAGTAAGTTCCACACATCCGCTTTCTTGATTGTTTGCCTATTCCGATATTTCCGAGAAACCAGCTAACACTTTGTGGTTATATTTGAAACATTTTCCGCGACCACTCGTTTGAAGGAACAAATGATTCAAGGTTAAGGATTCAAATTGGCTCCGAACCCTTCCCACACGCAAAACTCACGTAGCAGTTATTTCTTTTCTTTTTGTTAATTTTTATTTTTTTTCCTTCGTTAAATAGCGACTTATTGTAGATTTGTAACCTGGCTGCAAACGTAAAAAAAAAAAAAAAAAAAAAAAAAAAAACAAGGCGTGGTTTCTAAGGAACTGTTAAAGTCTTGTGCCTCAACCTCGTTCCCAGGGCCTTTCCTTTATGCCTACCATAAGCAAAAAGAAATCCTTGCCTTTGTCAGGAATGTTTTTATAATGTAACTCCAGATTGTTTAAATAGGTAGGTTATATGGAAAGGGAAAAACAACGGTGATACGCTAAAGGTAAGCGGCCCAGTTTTTAAGCAAGATTTAAATTGGTGGCGAACAGGCTAAACTTTAGCGCATTTGAAGAGGTTTGGTCCAGTTTTAACAATCTTGCAGCGCGGCGAGGGTCAGCGTTGATTTAGTCTTTGGCGTTTTACATTCAGTGTAGGAGGTGTTTGCTAGAACTTGACGTTTATTGAAAATAATGTTTCAGCAAAAGTTAAATTACCAAAGAAAGAGAGACACGTTTTAAGTCTCAGTACTTAGTTTTTGTAATGAGATAGATTTGAGACTTTCTAATTTAGGACGTCCACAACAAGGATGGATAGATATTTAGTTGCGTTGTTGGCATTTCTTTTCTCTTAATTCTTAAAATAAACACCGGTTACTGGTGTGCCGTTTATCCAAACGCGTCGTCTGTCACCAATTTTGCCTTCATCTGCGGCCACGAATATGAAATTAATGTTTAAAAGATTGCGATTAGTAATTTAACATACGTAAAATATCGTATAGTGAACTACTGTTGTCTCAAGATGCGTCATCTGTAAATGAACTGTTCTGCTCAGCTGCGATTGGTGGTTATTCAACAGCTGTTGCTGGCGCATTTCGAAGCGAATGCTTTCTCAGCTGGGAACCGGCGCACTGTACTTTAGCTATTACTGTTTTTATTTTCATATTGACAGTCGGAATCCATGCTCTGGGATTTCTATCGTAATATCTCTGTCGATGTTATTTGAGTGAAGTCGTATGTAAAACGTGTCTTTTCCTGCGTGCGTTGTAATGGGGATCACGATCAGTAAAGTTTACTTGGTTCCGAAGGGGCGGTGTGGGGGTGCTCTGAAACGTTGGAGGTCTGTGTCTGGGTCGAATAGTGCCCCTAATTTTCTGCTGCTCAGGTCTGGCTGTCTCGCCAACGTAAAGCCCACCATGTTGTCTAACGCTAGCTTGGTCAACAGCAGTTATCGGCCGCACCAAGTACAATCGAAGGGTAGTTTCCTTCTTTAAAATTATGCGCACCCCTTGTTTTAAATTGTTCGGAAAGATCTTAGAAAATGGTAAAACCGCAAGGCTTTAAACTCGGCGCTATTTATAGTTTCACAACATATTTTTATCTTGACCAGACCGCCCAGGAATATCATATGTTATGTCCTACCTTTTTTTTCTTCCTTCCCTCCGTAATGTGCTAAAAATGGAAACAAGGCAGACATGGATCTAAAACCTCTTAATGATTTCGTAAGGGGTCGCCAAAAATAAAATAATCCGTTACTCGATCAAATAAACAGTGATGAAGGCAAAAATAAAAGATACAATGCGGGTGGCTATGAAAAACTCGAACCTAAAATCACCCTTCGTTCAACGCGCACTGGAAAATATCAAAATGTAATTATTTGATTTTTGCAATCGTATTGAGATAAAGATGTAGAGAATCAGTCCTCAAACTCCAAAGGTCTTTGCTTTTGCAGTTTAAATTACTGACGTGCACTGCAGCAACTTTTGGGGAAATTAGGAAGCCTCGAGCTAACTTTTCTTCTCTATACATGAAAAGTGTAATTGCAGTCGGAGTTTAACGTTCGGCCGTTGTTTTTCGACATCCATTTATAATGACAATTCAGTTTTTGATAAATGGCATGCGGTCTGTCAGCCAGTCAGTCTGGATTAAGCGCAGACTCATGAAATACACATTGTTTACTGGAAAACCATTCTTATTGCCTGGTCTATACACTTCACTTGGAGATCGTTATCAAGTGAACATAGCCGGGAACACAGCCGCCTCTATAACAACAGATAGATTTCAGTTTTGTTTTGATAAAACAGAGACCTGGTATATCAAATTAGTAATTACTGTCTTATTTTGGAAGGTAAGCTTTGTTTTTCTCTAGAAAATTAAAACCCCGGTCGTCAAACCTTTATTTATTAATTTTTTTCGAAAGAACAACGATCAAGATTTGTCAAGCCAACACCATGCTTTCAGTATCTGCTATTTTTGTTGGAGAGCCTAGCTAAATCTCTTGTCGTTGAAATACTAAGAACAGAATTAATTGATTTGCTGTTGCAACCGAAGATCTGCACAGATCCGGACATGATTTAGACACAACCCGTTAACTAGGCGGGCAGAAACCTCTGCACATGCACACATACTCTTGATACTCTCATTTACTTACACTCTCAAGCATGGGCTGACCCGTAAATTAGCCATAGCTAGTCTAAGGTGGGTCAGAAATCTATCTATCTATAAGCTATATACTGCCTAAACTAAATGGGATCATTGTTGGGGAAAAGTTTTCTCAGTTCAACTTAAAGCAAACTCTGGAAATGTTTCCAGGTAAAACTCTCCAACTTTTGCCATGGCGTCCGAAGTAACTAGTGTTCGGAGCTTTTTTTTTTTTTTTTGGCTGACATAATAGATTTCTCGAGGGTAAGTGAGGTGGCTGTATTGAAGACCAACAGTTGTCAATTAATTTATAGCCACACTTTACGATTGCAACCGGCCGGTTGTCAGTTTGTAGATCAGTGGTGATTTCGACTGTTATCAGTTCCTAACTAAGTTTTTATTTGTACGATATGTCCCAAAAAAAATCCGCTGCTCAAAATGATTTCTAAAAAAATTAAATCAATTACACTAAAAATAGACGGAGTCGTGTGAAAGTTGGGAAAAAGATCTGTCATCGATTGGCTCAAAATAATTTTGATATCTAATTACTGCATCATATAAATGAAATCGACAGCATTTGACACGGAAATCTCAACTGAAGTATCAATTGATAATTGAAGCTCCCTTCTCGTCGCGTCCGAATCTATTAATTTTCGGATCACCTTTCGTAGGATACTCGGCTATAAGCTGTTTCAGTGTTCCCACGCACTTAATCTGGCGACATCTTCCGAATTCTCTGGAAAACACACATATTTTTAACCATAGCCACTCCCGTGGGCCCGGAGGCGTCTGCACGCTTGCAAAGCGAGGTTGGCGCCGGGACGCAGTGCGTGCATACTCAGTCAGTCTAGGGAACCTATTAAAGTTCAGATTTTTGGGTTCCTTCCAACTCTTGGCTGACTCAGCATTCCAAAATCATCACGAGCTTTTTCTGTTCGTGACAGTTTGGAAATACTTCATCACCGATCCTTACCCGTGGGAAATTCTGAAGAGGGAAGTCGGGTGTTGACTGTTGAACACTCAAAGAAATGTTCTCACGAATTGTTCTTGATCTTAGTTTTTCTGCGACAATAACTGTCAATTAAAACGTTCTTACCATAAAAGGATTTGCCTCAGAGGGGTTATATGTGCTGCTTAGGAAATTAATTAGATAAAATTTCATGCTTTGTGACGATCAACTGAATGCGATGACAGCTATCGTGAATAACAGTATCATATACAAAAGTACTTAGGGATATTCTAGAAAAACAACCCCAGCAAACTTTGTCTTCAGTCATTGCAAAACAACATTGCATTTCAGTCGGATGTTTTACTACCACTAAATCACGCAAACAGGTTTCATTTTCTTTTGGAATATATGGCCGCCACTGTTTTCATTTTTTCTTTTTTTTTTTTTTTTTGTGGGATTTTTTTTAGAACCTCGGAGCAGATGTCGAAGTGCAATCCAAAAATAAAATGCCTCGCCGTCTTTCCACTGATCAGATTCCTTCTTCCGGTCTTCCATCAGATCCAACGGAAACTGAACTTTAAAATGTTTCCCCACAAAGAATTTTCGGATTATTCCTTAGTACTTGTAAAATAGAGAAGTGGCTTATTCGCAGAATCCTCGTGTGTTTTCATTTAGAATTATAAATTCTTGTTTCCTGTTTGAATAAGAAAGAATATAAACATTGATGCGACTCCCACATTTCTCTCCTGCACGCCAAGAAATCCTTTAGCCCTCTTAAATTGAGATTTCCTCATCACCGTTTAAAGCCTGTTTTCAATTTCATATGCTCTGTTATAAGGTGAAACTCGACACCATACTTTGTCCTACAACATGGAGTACGAACCTTTGAAATTTCTACGTTGCCTTGAAAGAGAAGTTAATTGTTTATACAAACAGTGATTGTGAGTTTTTACGACTTCATGACGAACACAAGCGAGTCAACGAGTAAAGGAAGTAAGAGAAATTACGTAAGTTTCTCGATCAAACAAAAATGCACGTCCAACATAGAAATAGAAATTTAAATTCCCTATGACTTCTTGTACTTAGTGTATACACAAGTATCGTTTAGTTCCTAGGAGGTGATAAACAAAGTATTTGAATTGAGTGCGTTGAAATAAATAGCATTACGCCACTTGTGACTTCATTCTACAAAACTGCGTACAATTTCAGGGTGTGTTTCGCTATTTGTTTTTTTCACTGGCTGCTAGTTCCGTTGGCTCTCATTTTAACCATTATTGGCCACAGAAATCATTGCGTTATTTGAAACCATCAGAAAACGTGTTTACCGAAAGGAAATTGCATAACAATGAAAGTAGAAAATAAGTGGTGCACTTTTGTGAAACATGTTTCAGATGCGCGCATGAATGAAAATGCTTCCTGTTTTTGTTTACCAAATTTTTTTTCTTTATTGAAGTGGAAAATAGCACAAACGAAAGTTGAAACTGAGAAGTCAGAATATTGTGGGCGTACTGTTTTCCGTTGACGAATAGTATCACAGCCATTATATAAGTATTAAGAAATCTCTCACTTCAGCAGTCAGACCGTGATTGAGCCATTACCAAGCGAAGATCCGTGCCCGGCTTTAGCGACTGAGGAAGAATTTGTTCCACGTCACCAAAAGAAACCAACTGAGCTGATTTGAGTAAAGTAAGTGGAACTACAATCATTTTGTTTCGTGCTATATTCTAGTTCCTTCATTGGTCTTTAACAAGTAGAGTCTTAGATTGTTAAATGCAAAAAAAAATATCGAAATTTTGCCAGAGGTCTGCATCAATCAGTTGAAATTCCATTCACGAGTCTGATGTATGAGCGAAAAATAATTAGGCGATTGAGTAATGACAAACCTAATGATGGAGAAATTTCAAACAGCTTGAACGAAAAGTGTGAAAGAATTTAGTTGATTCTTTAGATTCTCTAGTATAGAAACCCGCCAATTGAGTCGAAGGAAATAGCCAGATGAGCTTGGCATGGTTTACGGAAAACGGAAAAACTTGACTCTGATAACATTTACTATTCCTCTAATTCTCAAATCAACACCGCAGACAGATTTGAAGAAATCTCAGTTTTGTGCACACCTATTCCGAAGGTATTTTAGCGTTGGTGTGGAAACGGTTGAAAGAAGACATTAAGAAGTGTAACTATTTTTTTTTTTTTTTTGCTTTTCTTTTCTTTTCCCGGATTTTCTTAAACGTCACTTTTATAGTCTCGCTGCTGAATGTTTTTCTCACTAATTAGGTGGATTTGGTCGAAGTTCATAGGGACCGGACCAAGCCAACTTCAGCAATTGCAGCCAGCAGTTAAATATTTGGACAATGAACGAATTCAGAACCAAACGATTCAATTATCGAAAGACCAAACCATTTTCTTCTTCAACGTCAGCGCTTTTCACTACTCTCAAATTTTGCTGAGTCATCGCTTTCCAGTTTCGATGTTGCAAACATGTGCTGGTCACATGAAATGCATGGCGAAGAGTCAAAAGGTTTTGAATTTTGCGTTTGTCGAAGGCGGTTCGCGATTTGCGTCAATCCCGCTCATTCCCTGAGGTTATTTTACAAAAGCAAGCTACTATTTTTGTTCTATTTCCGTTTACTCAATAGATAAGTCACAAACGCACACTCAAAATAATTTAGAAAGATTTGGTGGTGTTTTGTTGTGACTCGTCGTCCTAACCAGGATGATTCATTCACGATCTAATGTAACATCGCGCTATAAAATTTCGTTTCCACCCGTGTTCTAGATTGAAGCGTCAGTATCGACAAAGAGGTTACGATAAAGCTTGTTCCAGCTGCAGGACAATGTAGCCTATATAGTTACCGGAATTACATCTTAGACTTGGGTCAACGGAAAATGAACACCCAGCTTGGATTAGCCTGAATATCTCCAAATTATGTATAGCAAGAAAAAAATTGGAGAATTGTCACGTACTCTAATAGCACTGGCAATAATCATATGATGTGTACATTAACATAATGTTTAAAACAGCGCAAGGAACGTTTAACTAGTGAACAACGTCACTTTAACAAGTTTTTTGTGACGCCCAAAATTACTTTGAACTATTAGCTTGGGAAGAAGGATAAAAAAGATAACGGAGATTTTAAAGGACCGACCTGAGATATTATTTAATCGGACATTTTCCCGATGCTAAACTATGACGTGGCTACATATTTGTGCCGTCGTATCGCTTTTAAAATCAAATTTCTAGCGAAGCTAGAAGGGAACTATTTAAGCTGAGGGAAACATTTTGAGAAGTCAAGACATGCCCTTCGTAATTTAATTGTGCAACAGTAGTGTGAAACTGGAAATAGCCAAAAGATTATTATCCTTCTGAGTACAAAGTTGCTTTCACGCGCAGTATGGTTTCAGCTCAACAGCGCTAGCAGAACCTCTGCTAGGGGCTGAAAGATAAAATATTGTTCTCTTTTTAAACGAATACTTCCCCTTGTCTTCAAAGCTCATTACTGGGAGTTACTAATGATAAATCCTCTTATCCCGCTCTCGGACAGATAAACTCAGAAAAGTCCCTTCTGTCCTGTTAGCGGATAAAAAACATTGAGGGGGTGTAATTTTAAATTTTAGCTATCAAACCGGAAGTGAATAATCTGATATATTTTGCTATCAGGCGAGCAATCTAGAGGTAAATGTCTTATTTATTTGTATTATCCGATAGATTAACGCCCTTTTTAAACAAACCTTTCAGTTGACAAGGCTTAAAAAAGTTACTTTTTCGCTACTATTTCTTTCACATGTTTTAATCTTTGAGGAAGTTCAGCGCACTTATTCTTCGTGGAATATTTGTTAGAACGCTTTAGCGTGATGCTTATTCGTGCGTGTTTGGAAAAGATAATTCAAGGCTGTTCTCTAGTCTCGCAGAGCACCCTTTTTCTCCTTGAGCGACTTAAACAACTGTGTTTTTAAGGAAAGATAAAAGCTGAGCTCTCTAGATTTCTGTAAAAAGCCTTCCGGTACACAGTTATTCTTTCATTAATGCAGACTGGCACATCTTCGGAATTGCTACGCATACTTTTAGAGAAGATTCAATCTACCTTTATCGTGAACCCTAATTCAACGGGAAATCCCCTTCTATGTTGAAGGGAAATTACTTCGGAAAACTACTTTTGCCACCTGACTCTGCAATGGAGAGCACACCCCTTTTTCGTTCGTGTTAAGTCGTCTTATTTAAAGTTACTTTCTCATCGTCCATTGCACTAAGATCATATGAGTGGTTTTTGTCGAGACAAATTTTTGACCTCACACATTCCAGGTTAGACAAACTAGACAAACAGGCGTTTCGCTTACTTAAAGAACTGTATTAGGGAGGTTTTACATCACTTAACGAGCGCCACAGAGTCGCAAATTTCGAATTACTTTTGGTAACCGGTTTCCTGTTCTCTTGAGCCTGATAAGCGAAAGGCAGTTATCCTGTGTTTCATTGGCTCATTGATGCTTAAATCGTTCCCACTGAAATTTCTATTCTACGCAAACGGTAAGCGTTCACTTTTTTCAGCATATTGTAGCATAAGAATCTCGTAAAGGTTCTTTAGCCGTTGTCAATCAGGATTCCGTGCTTTCTCCACTCGTTCTCAGTGGTACTAGAAAACAAATATTAGCTTGGAAGGGTAGAAAAACAAAACAGAGGCGGTGATAAACTGTGAAATAGCGAGGATGGCTAATAAAGGATAGGATTAATTACGACGGATTGCCTCGGAAAATGACGAACTAGGAAAAATTAGGTTAACGATTTTTATGAAGTACAAACGGTAATTTAGATAACAGATCGAGGTATTGGCGTGATATCCCTTATGACAGAAAACTACACCAGCACTGAGTCGTACGGCTCATGAATAGTTGCTAGACACAGAGGCGGGATGGGGGTGTAGCCTTTCGAAAACAGTTAAAAATTGGCTGTGTAAACAACGACGATCGAATCGTGTTCCCTTGAAGCATTTCAACTCAGCTTCTTGAGCGTGGTGGGAAATTCTTAGCTAGTGGGAGGCGCTTTGTGACAAAGCATAAGTTAATGGGCGTCATAAAGGATTTGTTTGTTTATTCTCTTAATATCAATTCCTAGAGATTGTAGTCAAGGTTTCCGTGGCATGTGTGTTGTGTGTCCTGTGGATGTAGAGCTTGTCAGATGAGTTTCATATGTCTTATCGTTGTTGCACGTGACATGCAACCATATAGTCCAAAAAGGACTGTTTAAGCACCTGTTTCACGATATTCCTAGAATTTTTCACAATCTTTCACAAAATAACTTGATATCTCCTTACAACCACTTCTGACCGAAACAAAAGTGTCTTTCATACGCCTGAACAGGGAGAGGAATGTATCGTGGGAACAACCGTTGAGATCTTCGTAAAGGGTCGAAACGAGAACATATCGAGTGATGTCGTAGGAAAAGAAAGTCTCGATGTTTTCAGAGTCGTTTATTTTAGAACAACATGGAGCAATCAAAGGTTTCAGGGTGTGATTTGAATTCAATAAAAATATACAATTAAAGGAAGCGGATGAAAACAGGGGAAATAACTCAAGTCTGTCGATTGAATTAGACAGCTAGTCCAACTCATAAGTCCGGCGCTGTACCAAAATACTTTCAATCTAAAGGACACTATCCAACACAAAATATTCTGAGCAGTTCTTTGGATTAGAAAAATCGAGAGAAGCAAAAAAAGCTAAGGATGAAGAAGATGAAACCCTTAAAGGAAGTGACGAACTCCAGAAAAAGAAAAAACTCTAGCCATTTGTAACATAAATAATTCTTTAACATAACCGAACACTCAATCAAGAGACCTTTTGAAGCTGGCGCCTCTTTACCGATTGTAAAATTGGACTTAACTCAACAGTAATTAATCATCTTACTCTATTGTGGTGTTTCATGCTACGAATGCTGAAGAACCAGTAGCCTCGAAACTGTTGCCGTAACAAATGTCATAGTTGTGGTATGCTCGACGACGTGTAGAACACAGTCTAGACAAAAAAATGGTAAAAAGGTCAACAAAAACACATTTGAAGCGTCAAACTGGTGTCGAAGTTGCCTCGAAAATTATTAACTGGATCCGCCAGTACTAATAATGAAATGATCTTTCACTGTTTGGTGATGATTTCAAGGAACCAGCCGCCTCGAAACATCCGGCAACGTCAGAGAAGTGGTCTTACCGACGAAGTGTAAAATGACAAAATTTCAATTTTGTAATCACGTTAACTAGAACACGTTCGGGGCGTCAAAATGGTGTCGGAATATATAATAGATGTTTCCCCAAGGATATGACGTCAATTGATGCAATGACCTGATAGGGGATAATCCTGAAAAAGATGGTTTCTGTCATCGCGCATTTGTCATCTCATAAGGCATTCTAGCCCTTAAATGTTTCTACGTTTTCTCAGTTGATGCTGTTAAGAGATTTCATCGGTTATAAAGTAAAATATTGCTCCTTAATTCAAAGCAATTTCTGTACGGATGAACACGTAATTTATCTTCGCTGCAATTTATCGCTATCCCGAAATGAGTACATTGGATACGGGTTGCTTGTCCCCCGGAGAGAGCGTTCAAGCAATTTGTTTCCATTATTTATCAATAGCTGGTGTTAATTTTCAAAGTTGAGTGGTATTATTCACTTTAAAAACACTCTTCCGAAGTTTCCTTATCCGCCTTACGATTAAGATGTTTCATTTAGTTCTGGTATGCATTACATGTGCCTTGAAATGTTCACTCGCGCTCGGGGTGCGAAGGGACCTCAAGGGACATCGGATGTTATTTAATATCAATTATCACTCATTTGTGTACTACAGGGGTCAACGTTCATTGGACATAAATACCGTGAAAATCCTCAATTCTTTCAGTTGCGTATTGAGCTACCTACTGCGCACAACGACAGGAAGAGAATGGAAGAACTCTACCAAACAGTCAGAGAGCAGATCAAACCAGTTGAAGCGGAGATCCGCGGAGTAATTCCTCCTTGGCTCAACGGATCCTTGTTACGAAATGGCCCCGCTATGTACGAAGTCGGACCCGAGGCGTACAAGCACTGGTTCGACGGCTTGGGAATGATTCAGAATTTCAAGGTGGAAAATGGCAAAGTGACTTACTGCAGTCGCTATTTACGAAGCCAGGCATTTGTCCGCGCCGAAGCTCGTCGTGGTATTGCGTACGCTGAGTTCGGAACTCCATTACCGCCCGATCCGTGCAAGAATATCTTCGCACGGTTTTTCTCCTACTTCGTACCACCCGAACGCACGGACAACTGCTCCATTAACGTTGTCACAATGAACGGCCAAACATACGCAAGCAGCGATTCGCCATTCCTAATCGGGTTTGATCCAAGTAGCTTGCAAGCTTTGTCAGAGTACAACATCAGGAGCGATTTCCCAGGTATTTCTGATTCATTTTTTAATTTTTATCGAAAAGAAAAACGCCTTTTTGAGAAAAAAAAAGAAAGGAAGAGAGCTATAACAAATCAGAATAAAACTTTGTTTGACATTCCTGAGGGAAAATAATCCCACGCAGGGAGTATATATTTTCGTTCCACACTAATTATATTTCGGATAGTTCCAGAAACTCACTTAAAACCAAACAAGTAGAATAACACGATTACGCCTTCATTGCTCCCGCCCATGACAGCTGTTGGGTGTAAAATTCAGACTGTCACCGCCCAGCGATATGTATACTGGGTGCAAATCGCGCACTGAACTTGACAAGATCTTTTGTTATGGCTTTTGCTGCTCATGTTCACACTTTAAACTCACTGCATCGAGCGGAAGGCTTTCCAAGCAGCTAGAGAAACACCTTTGCCGATATCCTTGAGGTTCTTTTTTAAAACAAGAGTTTAAAATCCGATCATAAGAAACAAAGGCAAACCAGCGTGTGATTTTGTGGAGATTCGTTCGAGTACGTGCGTGTGAGAAAACTTAGGCACAGTTACAGGAGATTGAACCTCGAGATGGTGCATCAAGAGATTGAATAAAAAAATCCCATATATTTTGATCAGCTTTGAGCAGAATCATAAATTAGTGCTACTACTACCGTCCTGTATTCTGAAAAAGTCCTTGAATTTAGGATAAGTAATCAAAAAAATGTGGCTTTGTCGAGGGTCTCTTGAGCCCGGGAGAGGTTTTGACAAGTGAACGGTCGTGAATATAAGAAAGAAGATTATTCAATTGTAGTATGTTGAAAAAAGGGGGTTTTTATTTTTAGCTGAGGATAACGGAGCGAAACAAATGTCTTAGAGGTGAATTTCTAGTACAAACTAGACCTTGCGTTTCTTTCAAACAGAAAAAATGGTTATATAACATCAAAACATCGCGGGGAAACAACTCGTGTCATTGATGACTCATGATTTTGTTCACGATTTCATCATTTGTAAAATGAGTATGGTTTGTTCTCGGATGCAATAATTGTGCAACTAGCTCCGATTGGACGGGGAGCCAAGATAGCGGACTAATGATAAAATTGAAATACCTTCTTCTTTAAATATCCAGAGTTTGTTTGGAAAAGCGATGGCAAGAACCTTTAGCTTGAAATGCTAAAATCGTGAACGGTTTCAGAAAAGTATCTCTAGAAGTGACGTTGAAAGGCATCTTTGCCGAACTTTAGACCAACGAGGTCAAGATTCTTTTTACGTAAAAACATATTTGCTGCTCATTTTATCAGTTATAGAAATCACGAGATGAACTCGTGTGTTTTACCTGACAAACCTTGTGCATCGCAAATCGCCGGAAGAGAACTGAATGCAATGATCTGATATGATACTGTTGGAATTTCACCAGGAAAAACAGAAACAAACCAAATTCTTCTTTCTCTTTGATATATCTGTCAGCGCCGTTTTCTTGATAAAAATAAACCAAAGGGGACTGACTATATGTACTCAATTCAACAGAAATCTCTTTGTCAAAATGATACTCTCATATAACATTGCTTAAATCGAAGTTTTCCATAATATTTTTTGTTTGCTTTGTTGTGTGGTTCAGGTCAAGGGGCGTTTGAAGCCTGTCACTGATGGCCATTCATTGAAAAATTTGTATATCTTTGGGGCTATTCCGATTATAAGCGAGCTTCCTTTCACAAATTAATTAGCTACCAACAGTTACAGCAAACCTTTTTTTATCCCGATCGAGAACCACAATTCATTTACAAAAAAACTGTTCCTAACATGTGTTCTTAATCTGAACGTGATAGGTTGTTTTTATAAACGAAACGTCTGTCAAAGTGCTTTCTACTTCAACGGTCTGATCTGCAGTTTTAGTCAAACAGATACAGCTTTAACGTCAAAGAAGAGGTCATTCAGGCTGTTGTAACGACTGCGAGTGAAGAAACCTCTGCTCAAAAGCATTAAAAAGTAAATGGTTTTTGTCACTTCCGTATTAAAAAAAGAACACCTTTCCGTTCAACAGGCAGCAATGCTAAGAGCTTCAAAAAATGAAGTAAAAATTTGAATTTTAAAGACTTTCAAAACAATAGACTTAACACTGTGAGGTAGATCTACGAGAAGCAAGATTATTCATTTGTTATCGCTTTCAAAAACAGAAACCGGAAGGAAACCAAAGTCTCGAGAGTTTGCTTTCAATAGCATCATTTAATCCGCCTAATAACAGAGATTAGCTTCACGTGTGGCCAAATAGTTGGCTACTCAGAAAAGCTTGTTTGTTTGTGAGACTGTCCGTCAGCGTTTGGCTAAAATCATAGTGGGCGGATAACGGCATTTGCGCAAATAATTGAGTGAAACAATCGTGGGAGATTTTCTGTTTTGGAAACAGTTTGTTTGGTTTGCTGGAAGGCATGTCATTTTGTATCATTCGCATTAGAAATATCATTTACGTCGTTGTAACTCCCTGATAAACTCTTCCGTAGTCTTTCCTGCATATTAAATCCGCAGGCAGTTTTAGAAGTCTAGTGTAATCTAAGGTTTTTAGGAAAGTTTTGCGCAATTTTTAGGCGGGTTCGTACACACCAGAATTGCGAGATGACATGACTATTTAACTGACGTCGCGTCACTTTTTTCCTTCTGAGGTAAGAACGCACGTAACAAAGATTAAAGTCGTTTTACGAAATGCGTTTCTTCTCATATGAGTGAATGCATCAAATGTTTTTTGTCTCGGCTTTCCGTCAGACCTCTGAGGTTTTCTGAATCTGACAAGCCTTCCCGCCAATGTACACCTGTTAGTCACATTTGCATGTGAGCGTGCGTTAAATGATCTTTGAATGGTCGTCGCGAATCTTTGGAGTCTCGAACGGAAATTAAATAATCAAAATTTTTTCATCAACCTGTTTTAACGATCTCCGTGAGCAAATTGACTCAGACCAAATGTCGTAACCCACGGAATTTGTGCTTGGGAAGTTCAACCTCGAAAAAGTTAATCGGTGCGAAAATCCTTGTTTTTTCGCATATTTATCATTGACGCTTCAAGGAAAAGGGGGCTAGCTTCTAGAATACTGGCGTGCTTCTTCATTAATTTTACGGAATTCTGTGACAATTTCTCACCCGTAGACGAGTTGTTTACCTAGTCGTTTAAAAACAGGCACCATTTGGCAGTCTTTGTTTCATGCAAGTGTAAGCACCTAACTATTAATCTTGGCACAAGTGTTAATTACTTGCTATCGGAAGCCTTTTTTTTTTCCTGGCAAATTGTCGTCTTTTAACAGCAGGAAATTCCTACTTCAAACACGCGATTGTTTAATTTTATTAATGACACCTTTTTCTTTTAAGACTCATCAAAATATTTCTTGGACACCACCGTTAGAATTAACATTTCTTTGTCTTGTTGAGTGGCCACACTTTTTTCTTTTGTATCATAATCTAAACTGAATTCCAGAGTAATTAGTTCACCAAAACAAAGTAGGAAGACAATCGATTTCTCTTGGAATTCATCTTAAAAAACGACAAGTCTTAAGCTCATAAAAACTGGTTTAATCTTAAACTGCGCTTGCATTAATTGCTATTTTCCAGAGGAATACAATTCCTCAATTTGTTTCAAAGTACACCAAAGCTATCTGACTGTTCCATTGAAAGAAACTGACATACTTGTAATTGCTGTAACTTTAAAACGCAATCGATTTTCCTTCTTCTTCGTCTTCTTTTTATTATCATTGTTGTTCTTGTCTATTGATATCTGTATTCAACAATCGTTAAATCTTCCTGCACCCTTGAAGGAGACTCGAACCATAATTTCGATAGAGTTTACAAGCATCTAATCACCTTAATTAGCTCCAGAGGAGAAGAGCGTTGCGGTTGGTGGCAAAAATCTTATATCTTCGTGGTTTACCTTGAGCATGACAATTTTGGCGGATTTCAAGTTACGGATATTGTCCTTTATTCCCAACAATAAGCCCCCCGCAGAAATAATATAAAACAAAATAAAACGCTACATATCGTTCCCAAAAAACACAAAGAGATATCACCAATCCGATAAGTAAAACTTAATTAATAAAGAATCTTGCATCGAGAAGTATGGAAAATCATTATTCAATGAAAAGGTTGAGATTTCTCTTTGTGACGTTATATAATTTGTATTGTAATTTTCTTTGAAAGTGTAATGAATAAGACATCCCCGCTGAAAGGGTAAACAAAGAAGAAAATATTGTCTTGAGAGAGGCAAAAGCATTTTGAAACTTTCATACTGTAAGAGTCATGTTTAGAATTTAGAGCTGAAGCGAAAACATTTAAACTAATTTTTTTCATTTATTTATCATTTTTTGGGTGAGTATGGAATGTCTTGCGTGTCTGAGTTACATTAAGGCTCTCATGTTTCCATTATTGTAATTAAGTTGTTTTGGTATTGTGCAAATCTGATCAGATCACAATTTCAAATGATCTTTTGTCTGCATTCCGAGATTGTCTTCAGCACGTATGATAAACAAGTAAAAGAGATATCTTTCGGAAATGGACTATTTTAAAACAGAAAGTGCCGCAGATGAAACCATTACTTGCACAATGGTTTGTCTTATTTTGCTTTGATTTACTCACAGTGTGCGTTCAATTGTAGTTTGTTGACTTTGGGTCAAATGAGCTTTGGTGATGGTTTTAGCAGAGCTGATTAAACACGAACGGAACTCCCACTGATTGATTAAGACGATGTTTTTCAAAGAAAAACAAGTTTTTTTTGGACAATTTTATCTCCTTCTCGTTTGTTCCACGCACTCAAAATTCCCATGAATTTCATTCATTTTATTCTTTTTTTTTTACTTTGCGGAAGCAGCTTATGGACACGTTATGTATCAAAAATCATTTCTTCAGTCCGCACGGAAAACAATTTTTTTTTTCTCGAGGCAAAATGAAACAAGACGAAACTGCACAGGACAATTTACTTGCGTGCTGATATATCAGTTTCTTCCAGCTTGACATAAGAGCGACGTGTTTATGATGTGCATAATTGCTTTAAATTGTTAGAGCTTAACTCCTTCATCGCTAATAATCCTTTGGCAAGTTTATCATGAAGGAGGAACTTTTCCAATAATTTGGCTCACTGGCAACTTTCCACCACAAAACTAGAGTTGAAGATCATATTGCTCTGCTGTGGTTCTCAAGGAATCGGATAAAAAACTTCAAGTGCTCTCTCTTTCATGCGATTGTGTTCGATGAGTCAAACGGTGGAATAATCTGCAAAATTTTGTTCGGGTACATTAAGTTGTGTCAAGCACTCCAAATAAGCGCGGTTTACGTGAGAAAAGAATTAGTAGATACGATAACACGATTACAAGACACAAAACTTTCTTTGAATTGTATTGTTTGAGGCTGATCAGCTCTTCTTTCACCAGTAATACGAGTAAAAAATCTCAAGCAGATCAGTGACTCCCCAAAAAAATGGTGATCGGTAGCCCGCTTAATGGTTTGGACGCGAATAGGGGAAACTGGGACGAGCAAATGAGTCTGACCCTTTCCCGCGCTTGAGGCGGTTTTACATGTATTACCTCTAGTTCCCACTGGCGTTTTCTGATGTCACTTTTTGAATTTCTCTTTTAATTACTTTGGTTTTGTTATGCAGTACTCATTCATCACCTGCTTACTGCTGTGTTTTACTATTTTCACTTATCACCTTCTTCATCTTTCAGGTCCCGTCCGAATGTTCTCCATGACACCTCATCCCCACGAGGACGAAGAGGGAAATGTGTACAACGTTGCTGTTTCTCTGAAGAATGGCACTCGCTACAATATAACACAAATACCACCACGACCCTCCACCCCTGCAGATACTGCGCCACACCCACTTCAGGGGGTGAATGTTTTGTCTACTTTCACTCCAAAAAATCGGCTCTGCTACTACCACAGTTTCGCCATGACTCCCAACTACTTCGTGTTCATCGAAAACCCGTTCGTTGTGAATGTGTGGGCGCTCCTGACAATGAAAATGAGAGGAAGATCTTTCCATGAGTGCATGAAGTGGGACAACAAGCAGCCCTCCAGGTTTTACGTCATTGATCGCAAGACAGGCAAAGTAGTGGCTCAGTACAAGACGGAGAACTTCTTCTCATTCCATCACGTAAACGCCTTCGAGACAGAAACAGATATCATAATGGACGTTTGCTGCTACCCTGACGCCCGCATTGTGTATCAGTACTACCTCCATCACTTGCGCTCCAAGGGAGAGCACGAAGTGAGCAAAGGCTTCCCTGATCCAGCTCTCCGTCGCTATCGCTTACCAATCCCAAAAACTGCCTCGTCCAGTTCCTGGCAGAGGCTGCCCAGTTACTCAGATGGCCGAGACTACAAAGTGCTCTACTACGGGGTGGAGTTACCCCAGATAAATTATCGCTTTGCCAACGGTAAGCCTTACCGGTTCATGTACGGAGTAGGCCCTCACCAGCGCGGGGACTTCCTGAACCAGCTCATCAAGGTAGACGTCCTAGGGAAGGAGGCCAAGACCTGGCATGAGCGCCACTGTTTCCCATCTGAACCTGTGTTTGTCCCAGCGCCCGGAGCTGAAACAGAGGATGAAGGAGTTATTATCTCCTCTGTAGTAGGTGTACGTGGTAAGAAGTCGTTCCTCCTTATCCTGGATGGTCGCACGTTCCGCGAAGTCGCACGCGCGACAGTAACTTGCCCAATGGCGCACTCGCTCCACGGTATGTTCAGACCAAGATCCCCAGCTCTACTCGGACAATGCCGGAAAGCCTGGGCCGAAATATAATTTGGGTCACCGAAAAAGGACAAGCTCTGAGGATTTTGGAGTGCCATATAATCGTACACCATCCATTATCAGCGATGTTTCTGAGAGAGCTCATCTAAACGATGAAAGGAATGATAGAACTCGTATCAAGACAGTTCCATGAACAAAAATGTGATTACTTTATTTCATTTTTCGAAATACAGTTCACGACAAAATGAAAAAAATTTTTTTCTGCTAAACAACCGATCACTTTGATATAAACAGATAACTTACAACGAGAATCATTCCATGTTCAATCGTTATTTTTTCAAACAAATCTCTTGTTTGAACGAGCTATCCTGCGTGTGTGTGACAAGTGTTTTTGATTGGTCATTCGCATTCGTTTCGTTACGGAACACGGCACTTTAAGGCGGCTTCTCAAACTGTCATGAGAAAATCAGAGAGGTTTTCTGTTTTCAGTTACACTCGTGATTCCACCCGAATCGTTCGGCCAAAGTCTTTGATAATACACAAATAAATCTGCCATTAAAAAAAATCGGGAAAAACGAAATAATATTCAAAGGAAAAAGTGAAAGGAGTTATTTCTTTTCTAAACATTATCTAGTGTGTAAGTTTTATTTAAAATGGCGTACATAACCATACGCTGTTAAGTATTTTAAGTATTTCTAAGTTATATAAAGTAGCATTTGTATACAATCATAGTGTTATGATACTTTCCTTGAAAGGTGTAATATACGGGGAGATCAGTGATAATTCTAAAAAAGATATTGATGATAAGTTTTAGAAATCATGAACATAATATTTACGGATATAAAGAAGTGACGGTTTTTTATCATAAAAATTGAATTTTTAACTAAATTTTGTAAATGTCGAGTTTAATTCCAGCTGAATATTTTGCCTAATAAAGATGTATGTACTTTAAAATGAAGAGGTTTGTTTTCAGTTCAGTGCTTATTATTCCTTTCCAGCTGTTTCTTGTGTTTTATTTATTGGATTTTCCTCAGTCCTCGTCTTGGACCTATCTCGTACCTTCCACAGCTGAGCAGCCCTGCATTTGAACTGGGCAGGACACTATCCTCTTCCTTGATTTGTGGTCCGCCATTTTGAAATGGAATGGCGGGAGTCAATCGCGCGTGGTACTAGAATATAGACTCACACAGCGCATGTCTGTCGGTTCTTCTGCCGCGTCGTATCATACATACATTCGTTCATTCATTCATTCATTCATACATTCATATATTCATTAAATCAATCAGTAAGTGAGGTATCTCCCTCACCCCACCCCGATCCTTACCTTATGAGCCTCAGGAAGTATTAAGAAGGGAGAACCTGGTAATGAGGTTGGCATCCATATCCACTCATTCAGTAACTCACTCAGTAATTCTTTAATTCTTTCGTTCGTTTTTTAATCATTTTTTTAATCTCATTTTTCATGGCTTCATGGTATCGAAACTAACTGTCGCAGAAGGAGACCAGTCCCACCTATCCTATAAATGTGCCTTTTCTTGTGACTTACTGGTTGTCGTTCGCGTGACAAGAAAACCCTTTTTAATAACACTGCGAAGGCGAAGGGATTGGGTCGAGACAACGTGACTACCACGCTTTTACGAAAGGCCTGGATGCCTGCCCTAGAATCTTCGAGTAGATATTGATGTTGGGAATAAATTTCATTTCCAAATGAAATTTTTAAGCGTTTGACATTATTTTGGAGAAACTTAAAAAACCAGACACAGATCATTTACTTACGTCGTGTTGCTTCCCCAAAGTCACGCAATCCACAGAATCCATTCAGTCGGATGAAGGTTAGCGATTTTTCTCGCGAAAGTAGTGCTAGTAGATGCATACAAATAATGAAAAATAAATCTTACATGCTTTCATTATCTGTTGTAGCAAAGAGTGCATAGATAAAATTCATCTGAAGTGAATAAAGCTATTGTTTAACGAGCGAGCAAATTTTCAAACAGGTAGCTTATTTATGCGTAACAGCTGCTTCCTCGTGCGAAATACAGTCAACAGTGCTTTTTAACAACACAAAATGTGAGCATGAGGAGGTATTTTCGTTGGATGACTTCGTAAGAAACTATTCAAAACAATAATATGATGCCAATATATCGTAAACCTCTTTGAAGTGAATATCTTAGGTTTCTATTAAAGTTTTATGTGATTTCCATTTTATCTACGTATTAGTGAAGGTTTTGGTGAAAGGTCGTAGTTCTTTGTGAGTGTTCGTGACAGATTATCTAAACTGTGATAAATTAATTCTCTGCTGAAAGAGAAGAAAAGGAGTGCGCACGCTTACTCAGAATTTACTTTGCAGGCTATAAACTTGTTAAAACGTCGCTGTATTCATTTGGTATCCATAGGCAGAACGTTTCCAGATCTATCGATTTGTCGATCATGAAGGTCATAAATTTATTCGTCTCTTGTGATCTATCAGTGGGTACGCACGCTGTAATTTCGCGATTTAGAGGGTCTTACCAACTCGCTTAATCCGATTCAAGCCTTTAGTTTTTCGTTTCTAGAATGTTAAGTTATTTCTCGCCAAAAGTTATTTCTTGCGAAATGAGAATTAATCCCTTTTGTCTTCCAGTTATTTGGTGTTAAAACTTGCGAAAGATCGAACACGGGGCATGGACTAGTTTTGCATTCGACATGAGAAAGCGTGATAAGGAAGTGTTTTATAAACTTCGTGTTCTGTTTCCATACTATTGGTGACAGATACTTTCGGATTTTTCTTCCATCTTTAAACTTACGGAACGGGCCTTTATGAGCGGTAAGTAGCTGGTGGATAAACATGTAACCGTGACAAGAAGTCGCCCAAAGGCGAAGCCACATCTTATTTTATTTTGGAGTCAATTATTACAGGCGCTATGTGCAAACGAAAACGACTCCGACAATTTTCGATGGCTCTTAAACAAAAGGAACGAATCAACTGTGAATGCCTTAATGTGAAATGAAAGTTTAAGCGACTCTCAGGCAAGGAAGAAAACCATCGCGCGCTGCGACGTTTTTAGGCGATTGTTTAACCAGAGCCTTCTAAAAGGTTCAAAAATGGATAATTTGGTTACGGCAAATTTTAAATGATTTCTTATCAAATGAGTTGTCGGGAGTCAAAATATCTACATAAGAAAGTACACTCAGTAGATTTATGTATGTTGTCTGTGGTTTCTTTTTGTTTTTGCTTTTGACAACGGACATTTGGAAGTAGTGTGGATGGACTCTTAATTAAAATCTTACGGCGGTAAAAATCGGCCGGTGTCCCACCTGATAGGTCGGCCTCGCTTTCACCTGGAGGCCATTCAAATGGGTTTTCGACGAAAATGGACCCGATAAAATAATGCGTAATTTTTCCTTTTTAAAGCGATTGGTTGGAGCAACGGCTCAGATTTGAACACAGTGGAGTAGAGTAAACCGATGGGATCAGTTTCTCTGTAGACGGAACTGGTTGACGGCCGGGTGATATAGCTAAGGTAATTGTCTATCCTGTAAGTAAGCTCTTGTTGGTGCCTCAGATCGACCCGCGAAGTGAAGTGATCTCGAGAGACAGCGGCCTGCGCGAGAAACTAGGGGGCCGATAGGGCGGCATTGTTCGCGCTTGCTGATACCCTCGGAATCGACTTGTAAATCAAAAGTTGCTTAGAATTTCCTCTAAAAAGAAATAACCTCGACAGGAATGGCAAAATGAGAAATGACATGAAACGAAAAATCGGAAAATGGCCGATGATTAAAGGGTGAAGTACGGCATTCAAAATTTTCTTTGTTATTTGGACTGAAGGGCTATTTCTTTGGAATATTTTGTTTGTTAAATGAACTCAACTCCTCGCTGTTTGCCGCGCGCCAATAATACTCACACTATTAAATTAATTTGTTTTCGAAAAAAAAAAGACAACTTTATATTCAGTTGCATTTCAATTTCGCTTTTTTAAGATTGATACATTATTTTTTTCGCAACTCCTATCAGCCAAGAAATTGCTTGTAAATAATTCTAAAAACATTATTTTGATCGATCGTAAAGTATGTACAAAAGCAGCATACGCTTCCTCAAAGGCTTAATTGCAATATTTGCTTGAAAAACAGGGCAGAGAAGCTTTAAGTACACAATAAGGTCCATAATGCAAAGACTTCAAGTATTAAATTAGAAGGCGCGTAAAAAATGCAGTCTGCTTTGACTAAGCCGGTCGCAGAATGATTGCTTATGCGAAAAGCGTGAATTGATATTTGTTTTCTTCTATTTCGGCATGTTTACGTCTCGAAATCACTTTTTTTAAAACGACGAAAATTGAACTTTAACCTCTCCCACGCTGCTTCAAGTTTCTAATCCTTTAGAACGAATGGACGAAATCTGCATACGAGACAAAAGGAGGAGGGAGTGAATGGAGGTGATCCCTGTTTTGATACCTTAGGGCGACAAGAGTTGACACTGCATGAATTCCAGTCCTTCGTAGTTTATCTTCCAGCATGTTGTCAAGTGTTTCCTCAACATTTTCTAATAACCTACCAAAAAAGGGGCGATGTGACAGTTAAGTGTCTTGCTCAACAAAAAAACACTGTCGCTACCATGTCGGTTTACAATATTTCCGTTTTCGGAAGTTTACTTGAAGAAAGTCCCGACAGATGTTAAAGGGACGCTCTTCTCACAATAAAAACATGAGTAGTGTACAACATGAGTGTACAAACATGAGTGTAGTACAAAAGAGAAATGCTGGCCGTCGGGGAACGATTTAAATCACTGTAAGAAAAAGGAAGAATCCTAACGACAAACTGGCCAGCTTTAATGGCGTTTAGCCTCTAAAGTTACTCAATATTTCACAACTTTCGAAAAATCTCTCTCAAATTGAAAATTCCGGGCTTGAAAAGGTTTAAGTGCGTGGGCGTTTGTGTTTTTAACGTATACAAAATTTAGCTTCAATTAAGGAACTCAAAGTTAAAATCGATGATCGGCGTAGGGGGCCATTTACGATGATGGGGAGACTGGAATAGCGGCAATCTCCCTTTGTGAGCCTGACCACACTATCGCAAAAGTAAAATATGACATTTGGAAAAGACTTTGAGTGAGGTATATATACTTTAGGTATCTTTCAGTTTGAAGGAGAGGTGTTTTTGTTTTACGGCTTGATACGGTTTGATTTTTAAATAGATTTTAAAGATTTGTTCACTGATATCTCGTATCTTAAAATGATATTTCCTTATCCAAACAAAAGCGGTCGAAAGTACCGACGGTGAAAGGTCAAAAACTTTCCCTGAGTTTGTTTTTGTAGCCTTCGCAGCATCGCCCATTGAAATTGCTTTCTAATATCACAAACAATCGGCAAAATCTCCAAGTTTTCCTGAAACCTCAATTTCTGTGATATTCCTCTAGTTTAATTTACAAGTTAATTTACGGCTTATCGGATGTATTTGATAAAATTGAGGAGATTTATCATGAAAAGCATTGTAGTGATTCATTTGCATCTGTGGTTTTTCTTTTTGTCAGGTGTAAAGAGCACATAATTGTAAATAAGGTTTCTTGCAATTGGCTGTACCTGAGGAAACGATGTTAACAGTTGTTTACAGCGGCGTGAAAAAATAAGTTTCTTTCCGGCAGGAAAAGAAGGTGGTACCTCCTTTTAATTTTCATGGTTTGAGTCCTTAATGGAGAAAACGAAGAAATCTTTCTGAGATTTATTACTTGAAATGTTTTTTCTTGACGGTGTGGTAGTAAACACATGCCAGAATCATAACAAACCAGGTTAAAGGGTATCACCTTTGGAACAATAACACAGTATCTGTAAACTAAGAATTTACATGCGGATCATCAGGCAGTTTTTCACCTGCTTTATGTTATCCACCGACGACAATACATGTAAAGCGTCACAAAGAAGAAATTTATAATTTTATTTTGATTCCACCTTTCAGAGTTTCCTCTGGCAACTTAAGTGCGCCATAAATCACCATCTTTCTTTTTGTTTTCTGTTTTCAGAACCACCCATTGTTGAAATCACTTCAGCTTCTTCAAGTCCGCGAAGGCGACGAATTTTAATCCTTTGGTAAAAGCCATAAGACATCAGATGTCAACGATGGAACACTACCAGCAATATAGTGTTACCACAGCGTTTGTTTGCCCTTTATATATCCTCACCGTGATTGTGGGATCCCTCGGCAATGGCTTGGTAATCTATTCTTATGTGACCGACAGCTCCATTCGAAAAGCGTTTTACTTTCTCATCACTAACTTGGCCATCGCCGATCTTTTGATATCCCTCCTTTTTACACCAATGCTGTTCATCTATCGAGTGTACGCCAAGGCCGAGCTTATAGCATACACACCAATCTGCGAGATCAGTCTGTTTCTCTCCATGTTCAGCATTTCCCTGATGTACTTTGTCTTTCCACTGTTGGCATATCATCGAAAAGATGTCATGTTGCGACCACAAAATCCCAGGCTCTCTCTGGTCCAAGCACGCCTGATAGTGTCCATATTCTGGATCCTATGCATCGTGTCCGCTGTGTTTATGGTCCTCATGGCCCGAAATGAGTTTACGAGTGGTGACCCGTCACCAAAGCTCTACCGCTGCTTGCTGATTAACCAGCGTCTGGATACATATGCAAAGGTCTTCCTCGGGTACTCGGCGACCCTGTATGGCCTATCTATTGCCTTTACAGCCATGATCTACCTGCAGATATTTTGCACCTTGCGAACCCACCTTGAAGGAGTGAATGGATCGGCGGACGAGCGACATACTACCAAGTTGTGCTTCTGGATAGCAATCGTGTACACCGCATTCTGGACTCCGTTCCTCCTTGTTCAACTTGCCGGTATCTTCGGTACCTACACAGAGCTTTATTTCAATCTTCACGGCTGTTCATCTGCTATTGGGGTCCTTGGGTCAGCAGTGAACCCACTGCTGTATGCTGTCATGAATCCATATTATAAGACCAGGATGTGCGACTTGTTCAAGCGACTGACTTGCCGCGGTTAGTAACACTATTATTCGTAGACTCGGCAACAGAGTTATCGTTTACCTTGAATATCTTTAAGCAGTGAGCGATTTTCAGTTGAATGCTGTAGTACAAAAACCGAAGCCATCGCATATGCAAATATAGAGGAAAAAGGCATCTGAAAGCAATGGAATAAAAGAGCTGAAAACGACCGGGCACAAATATGGCCTAGCCGCAAATGGCTTTCATTTCGCTTATGATTGTCGTTAATTTTGAGGTTAGCGCGAGCTTTTTAGACCAATCAAAGAGCGAAGTCAAACAAGCCCAAAGTAATCCCGGATTATTTTCGACTCTCAATATTGAAAATTGCTCTAAATAGGGCATGCTAATGAGTCAAAATACAGCAATTTTAGACCACTGTGGACATGAAAATTGAAAATCGCTCCATGAAGCTTAAAACTTTGTGAAAAAGAAATATTTATTGAAGATTTAACCTTCAGAATGGATTAACATTTAACTTCTCCCTACAATATCCGTACAATATCCTGCAAAAAGTTAATGAGAATACTCAGACTTATAAGGTAGAACTTGCTACCTTGATTTAGCACCAAATTCTAAAAACTAATTTACACGCATGGGAAATGTATAGCAGTAAGGGAGAATAAATTATCTGATCTTGATAGTAAGAGGGTTACTGCAAGTTTTGTTCACATGTTTGTTCAGTCTAAAATATTAGACATGACTCCAGTTAGTATTTGCTAAAAGGTGCTGGTTTTTTTTCCCTCCGAAAGCCCTTGATAAGTTGATTAACTCAAGTTATTTGCAGTTTATTCAATATGCTTGTTATACCGTTTCATGGCCTTTCGTTGCCTGATATAGTTAGATGGCACAAAAAAATAACGACAGCAACTAAAGAAGTAAACAAGGTCGGTAACTTAAAGTTAATGTGCTAATTATATCATTTGCAGAAACGGCTCCGACCGTGACAGAGGAAATTTAGAAACTAAAAGTTTTTGTCCAGCAAGTGACGAAAGAGTTATAAGTATACAATCTTTCCCGGGCCAATGTGGTGTACAGGAAAAAAGTACGGTTTAAGTTTTAAAGTCGTATTTTGAGGGGATGGCTGATGCTTTAAATGGAGTAAGTTAACTGAAATTTTAACTGAGTTAGCGTTCGTTTGAGAAGAAATGCTGTTTTGACCAGCCAAAATATGGTAGACAAATTCAAATAGCAATACCACCTTTCATTCTCTCTGCCCTGCTACTATTTACAAATAATTAAGTTATTGTCATATGTAAAACATGTAAATTGTTGTGATAGTTTGGGGAAGGTAGTATTGGAGTGAATAAAGTGTTTCTTGATGACCAAATAAACGATGTAACAAAGAGACTGAATGAGACTTGTGTGTTACCCGCCGTGAGGGGCCGATGGGGTCGTTAATCCCCCCTCCCCCATAGCCCTATGACCCTCTTTTTATCACTTTTTAGACCCACCCCCTACCCCCAATTTTTACTCGCCCGCTGTTTTGTTCATCTCCTCTGAACAACAGCCTTTTTCAACGACATTTCTTGTGGTTACCCCCACATTCTTTTGTTTCGCTGGAAACATTTCACAACGATGGGAGTGAAAACTCAACCTGTTTCCGCAGATGCGGAGGTTAAGGCAATAAATGAGTGATCCATACAACTATATATGGCAAGGATATATGCGATACGTCCTCTTCTGAGGCCTTGCGCGGTCCCTCGCACTATTTTCGCCTGCACGCAGGCAAGAAAAAGAACAGCGGCTTTACACTCAGACCAGCCGCTTACACTATTTTTGAAGAAAATCAAAATGGCGTCTTTCCATGTTCGGCCGTTGTTGAGGTTGGGTGCCATTGCAGCTCCAAGGCTACTTCTAAAAAGTATGTATACTCGTCGACGTGTTTCAAGAGTGATTTTTCTGGTCTATTTTTAACCTTCAGTGGTGTTTTTTTTGTATCGTCTCTTTTCGTTTACACTACAAAATATTTCGCTGACTTGCTTTCATAACCCCAGTACATAAGCCTGCATGGAACATTTTAGTATTTATGTAATCATCGGTTGGTGATGCATGATTCCAAGCCGTTAATTCCGTACATGACTTCTTCAAAAGGACTGTAAACGTTCTCGAATGCAAACAGATTTATTCATGTAAATAATATTCATTTGTATGTCATACATTTTCCTAGATCAATACAAATGCAGCAAGCCTTGTTTTGCTTCTGCTATTTTCTCACAGCAGTCTCGGAAACTCTCCAGTGAAGTGGCAGTAAAAGGTAACAAATTGTACATTTATTGAGTTAAGGCCTGGGTTAGATGTCGTACTTCACTTGGGTTAAATAAAATCCTACTTTATCAACCGTAATTGATTTTAACTGGCTGATTTGCCCTAGACACCTATCTATATATGAGTTGCTATTAACAGTACGTTTAGATTTGATCTCCACAGTAAATTTGATGCAGCCTCTGTGGAGTATTGTTTCGCAACTGAGTCTAGGATGTTATAGCTATGGCAAGCCAATTGTAGCAATATTTAATACCAAAATTCAATGAAATTCTATGAAAATATTAATATTAAGCTTTTTTTACTTCAGTTGTTTAATCTCTGTCATCTTGATCATTAAACAGAGGATGCAGCAGTGGCTCAGCTATCAGAGTTTGGACAATACGTGGCCAGCATTCTCCCAAAGTACATCCAGCAAGTTCAAATGACACAAACCAAAGAACTAGAATTACTCATTGCTCCTGAAGGAATTATCCCTGTTTTGACTTTCCTCAAAGATCACACTAATGCACAGTACAAGTCTCTAGCTGACCAAACAGTTGTGGATAAATTAGGAAAGCCTTATAGGTTTGAGGTGCAACACAAAGTAAAACATAGAATTAAGAATATCATTATGTCAATTGTGCTTTTTTATTTTGGGGAAGTACAAAGTTTATAATTAATACTAATCACCTTTCAGAGGCCATTGTTTGATTGTTTGAATAATGTGTCCCTAGCTTTGTAAGTTTAACTCATTGTTATTGCAATTTGTGTGTGTTGTTTGAATGTGTGTCTGTTTGTGTGTGAGCCTTAATAAATTGAATTAAAATTAAGCCTAGGTGCTTTTGGGGAAACCAATGAAAAATATGTTTAAAAGAAAAAAAAAGGCTGGAGTTTTCAATTCCTGATTTTACACACTATCAGAAGTGATTTCCTGAAGCTTTTGTAAGTTTCCTGCATGTAGGTGTGTATGTTGTAGTTCAATTTTATCCTTGGTTCAAATTTTATTTTCCTTTGTTCTCGGTCATGTTAATGTATGATAATGATTTTGAAACAAATGAAAATAAAATTTGAACCAACCTTGAAATTGAACTACAACATGTACATGAGAAAATTCTAAGTTTAATCTCTTTTTATCTTGCACAGATTGTGTACAATTTGCTCTCCCTGAGATACAACTCAAGGATCTGTGTCAAAACTTATACTGATGAACTAACAGCAGTTGATTCTGCTAACCCTGTGTTTAAGGTGGCAAACTGGTATGAAAGAGAGGTAAGTATATTGATATGAAAGTACTGCAACAGCATCAATCAAAAGCACAATTCAATTCTTTGTTCTGGCTTAAGTCTACAGTTCCAGCTTCTTGAAAACTCTTTTAATTCCAGAACTCTAAATCGTACTTTTAGCCTCAAGCCTCACTCCTTGCCTGAGAAAGACCCATCTCTTTGAAACAAAAAAATTATTCCTAGAACTTATAAGGTCTACTTGGTGTAATACCAGGTCTAATAGAGGCCCATTTACATGAAAACAATCACAAAAAAAGATATTCTTTTTTGAAAAAGAATATCTAAGTGAAAAGTGGTATGACTATATCATGTGGATTAGAACTAAAGTCAAAGTGTGATCTCTATATCTTATTAACCAAGCGCGAAGGCCATACTGGGAGAATATTGGCCCGAGGTCTTGACAGTACGGACCGAGCACAGCGAGGTCCGTACAAAAAGACTGAGGGCCGATGTTCTTCCAGTACGGTCCCGAGCAAGCTTGGTTAATAAAAGATTTATTATACGACTGAAGTTCAAAGGGACACAAGTGTGGTATCATTCGGGACCATTCAGGACAGTGCCCGGTCCAATACTTAGAGAATATTGGACCAGCCATAGAGTATTTTGATTGGTTGATTTTAGTTATTGGCCCTCTGACTGCCCGAGTCGTGTAATAAAGGTCACAGCTCGATTCATATAGGGGTCCTCTTATTTTTTCCTGGAGTAAAATAAAAGAAGTTTCTATTAGAACAGTTCCCAACTCGTAAGTACCCCCACCCTTGAATATAAGCATATGTAAAATGCTTAATGACTTTGTCTAACCTGAAGGCTTAATCTGTATTGCAAATGAACATTTTTGGGAGTAGTTTCTGTCTTGTGTAAATCCCAAATGTTTGAAATATTCTAGCAAGGCATCTGTTGATTTGTGTCAGCCCTAGTAAGGGATTCATTGTGAAACTACAACATTTACCCTTTTTTGTGGCAGATTTGGGATATGTATGGTGTATTCTTTGCTGATCATCCAGACTTGAGAAGAATCCTAACAGACTATGGATTTGAAGGACATCCATTTAGAAAGGACTTTCCCTTAACTGGTTATGTGGAGGTAGTGATAGGCTTTATTTTAATATGTATCACATAATTATGTTTATAACAATGAGAAATTTTCTATAGAGAAAAATGTCCGACAGTTTTCACAAGCAGGGGTTGAAGATTAATGTTGAATAGAGAAAATTTAAACCTCAGACTTTTCTAGTTCACAGGGCTGGATGCTCTTCAAGCAAAGCTAGATAGATCTCATCTCTTAGCAACAAGTCTCTCTCCACCCACGGAAGGGTAAAAAACGGGTATCAAGAAATTATCAGGGGAGCCTGGTGAAATGCCTGGGGTAAGCTTGCAATGAACTGGCTTCCCATCCAGAGGGGGAAGGGGAGGGGAGGGAGAGAAGCAGTTAACTCCTAGTTTCTTCTTGCTGAGGAAACTAAGATAAGCTCCAGCTACCGGTAGGCGGGCAACTAGGCTTGAGTTCAGACTTTCACTCCCAAGGTCTCATTAGTTATTCTCCCTACGGTCTGCCATATAGTTCTTATGATGTTAGTTTGGAGAATTTTGTATTTAATCAACCTAAAATCCACTGATTTATATTTGTCTTTATTCTCATCTCTTGTCTGCTTGGTATTGTATATATATA